GAGGCCGCCACCTCCCCCCCGTCCCCCGTCCCCGTCTCGTCTGACGCCCTCCTCCTCGGTGAGTTTGTGTCGGTCTCTCCCGTAGGATATGGCCGAGGTACCGCCGGGGCCTAGCAGCGTCCTCTCCCCGCAGGGGGACACGCTCTCCCCCTTCCCCGGAGGAGGAGGGGGGCTTGCTTCCTCCTCCTCTTCCACCTCCTCTGCTGCTGCCGCCGCCGCCTGCACCGGGGCCCAGGACGAGGAAGCCGAAGAGGAGGAGGAAGAGGAGGGACCCGCGGGCGGACGGGAGCGGCAGCAGCGAGGAGGAGGAGGAGGAGGAGGCAGCGACGGCGGCAAGGGGGGGCCGCAGCAGCACCGCCACCACCACCACCATCCCCCGCACCACAACCACCAGCTCAACGGCCTCATCAGCCCCGAGCTGCGGCACCTGCGGGCCTCCCTCAAGAGCAAGATCCTCAGCTCGGAGGCAGGGGCAGCCCCCGAGGGGCTGGAGAACAAGCGAGCCAGCAAAACAATGGGCTCCGGACAGCAGCAGCAGTCATCGCCCCCGACCACAGCACCGTGCTCATCCCCCCTTACCAACCACCTCCCTTCCCAGGGAAGGACTGCACCCTCTCCTCCTCCTTCTCCCCCAGCAGCAGCAGCAGCAGCAAGAGAGGACAGGAGCCAGCCTGCTGCCACAACTACGACTGCTGCTAAGACTGCAGGCCGCAATGGACTGGCAGGAGAGACTGGCTTGGAGGAGGAAGAGCAGGAGGAGGGGGATGAAGGAGGGGAGGAGGAGGAGTCCTTGCTGCTACTCTCCGGGTCCTTAGCAGCAGCTTGCAGTTTGAAAGGCTCGGGAACGGACTCTCAGCCCGAGGAGGACATAACGATACGATACGTCCGATATGAGTCAGAGCTGCAGATGCCCGATATCATGAGACTGATCACCAAAGATCTGTCTGAACCCTACTCCATTTACACATATAGGTATTTTATCCACAACTGGCCACAACTTTGCTTTTTGGTAAGTGCCAGAGGGGGCAGGGAGGGCAGGAATTGGGAGTGGTTTGGGGCTGGGGAGGAGAGGATTAAAGGGTTGACGGTTGTGGAAATACTTACAATAATCTTTTAGTGGATAAGGCCAAGCTTTTTTGGAAGTACCTGTCTTCCTAATGAAGTCCCCTTGTGACCTGTGCATGTATAAGTAAAGCATATGCCTGAAGTTCCTACATTTGTTAATACATGTTTTAAGTGGTGGGGAAAGGGTCTGAGCACAGGACTAGGATCCAGGAATTCAAGGCTTCTAATTTTGGTTTTGACATTGACTTTTGTGACCTTTGGTAGTTCATTTTATCATTCTGTCTCAGTTCCTAGGTTTGTATTTAAAAAAGAAAGTACCTAGTCCACTAGTGTCTTACAAGTGCTTAGTAATTCTTGCACAATGGTTTTAAAACAGAATTCAGCATGGCTAGCATATAAATGTTAGGTGATACATAGAGAGACACTGTGAAAGGCTTTGTAGACTTTTTATCTGTGAGCTTGCTTTGAAAAAGACAAGTACAACTGTTTTGCTTCTTACAGGTGTGATAGTGTGTGCAGCATATGGAAATTCTTGTGCTGCTTAGATTGTCTTGCTGTACTAACGATGTGTTTAGTTTTATATGCTTCCTACAGCACTATTGAAAAGACTGATTTAGCTGTCACCCTGTCTTTCTAAATCTTTAGCACTTATGGAAGAACTTGTGTCTCAGTTGGAAAGCATGCTTTTAGGATGATAATTCGTCCACAGGTATATGAAACTGAGTACAAGTTGGCCTGAGGAGTATATGTGTATAGTGGGAGCTTAGCTGTGTTTGATTTACTCATAGGAAAACTTACATCTGCAAAACAGAACATTGATGGGAGTGTATGGCACTTCCTTGCTAAGGTAAATGATGGATTCTTCTCTCTTGATGTTTTAATCAAGGCTGGACACCTCTCTGAAAGGTATGATTTAGCCAGAGCCAAGGCACCCTTCAATTCTAGAGTATCTCTGTAAAATTTTAATAGGATATGAGTACAGGAGGTGAGGCTAATGAAATCCATCTGGCCTTAAACTTCCTGAATGTTCTTGGTTTAGGGTCTGGTATAATTTATAGTGGGATTCATATGATTTATAGGAGGATTTTCAGAACTGTGCCTCTTAAAACCCTGAAGAGGGAATACAGTAGGATTATAGGAAGTTGAGCGAAGCATTACCATCTGGAACAAAATAGAGATATGAAAATATTTGAAAATGTTTGAAATGGCAAAGTCATGTTTGCCATTATAAGGGTGCTGATCAGAGCAGAATGGTATTTTTCAAGCACTGAGCTATGTGTATGACTGATTTACCTCATACTGAAAATAAATGCTTGCAAACTAGAAATGTCCATACTTTAAGCACCAAGTGTATCGCTGGTAATGCCAAGGTAATGTTGGATACTATTAGATCACGATGCATTTGTTTAGACTTTAAATCTTTATTTTTTTGTTGGGGAGTAACTTGAGAATTTTGTTACAAAAAGAGCAATGGCAAGTTGTTTCACAGAGCACTAAAATGGGTGATTTTTGATAAGTGCATTCAAAGAATAAGATATCCCTCAAGGAAAAGAAAGTGTCTTCAGCTTATTTTGTAGTGACAGTTGGGGTTTTTTTTGGTAGCCTTGAAGAATCAACAAACCTTTACTTGAATTCTGTGTATTTGCCTTTTTTTGAAGGGTGGAACAATGTGAAGTACATAAAACTGCAGAGAAGAATATGTGGCTATGAATGTTTAAAGCTAGCAAGTTGTTATCTACTTAATGATTTGAAGGTCTTGCAGTATGTTGAGTCAAATTTGATGGGGTTTCTTTGTGTCTGGTTTTAGTATTTTTAAGAGGTTGTCTTGAAGAATTTCTGTTCTGTAAAATTTAATTTGTTCCTGCGGTTAGTGGATTACTGAACTACTTCTATGTATTAAGTCTCTTTAAAATATTTATCTTCAGTCAGGTACTGCATATTGCAATTAGCAAGAACAGTGTCAGGATGGTGAACAGAGGCATAGTGCCTGATCTCACAGAATCATTTGTCTTTAATGCCTTACGGCCACACACCCTTTTGGTTTCAGGTTTTGGTTTGGTTTTGACTGGTCTTGGGGAGAGGGATTAGACTGCCATTTGACTGTGTTTGAAAAAAATATCTGTAGGGGTTCAATCAATTCCTTTACTGAACTTCACCATCACCGTTTTTAAAATCTTACAATGCATACTCACCTGTCTTCATTGCATTGTCATAGGCTCCCTTCCCTTTCTCAACATGTGAGGGGAAAGTACTAACACCATTTCAATTGAAGATGGTATGTGTATTTTCCATGAATCGTCAGCAGTTGTCCCTTGCTGATATTTATTCAGTAAACCATCTTAAACACCATAATTTTGCTACCTAGCATTTTGGATACCTGACAATGCAGAGCTGTTTTCTGGGGGCATTATTAACATTATTCCTGATGATGATTATCTCATGGGTTTGAAACTTGCCAAGTTTTGGCTTGGCCTTCCCAAGGTGCACCGTTGCTTTAATGGCTAGTGCAACCAAAAGGGCTGCTTGCTTTTCCTTTCTGTTCAACTACCTCTTCCTGGCTTGTGCCAACCCTTGTGTTTCTCTGATTTGGGAAGCTAAGATAGCCCTCCCACCACCACCATATATTTATAAGTGTGTGCGTATATATATATTTTAGGGTCAGGTTTCTATTGGTTTAGAGCTCCAAATATATTCATAGTAGGATGTCATAGGCACTGGTGTTGGTGCAAGAGAAGAGCTGGAGGGAAGGTATAGGACCAATCCTAATTAGTTACTAGCATGGTTTTGCTGTATCAAACCATTTCCTAACTGTGTGCTCAAAAAAGTGGTTCATATTCTACTTTAAAAGGATCCGGAGATACTAGGAATCTTCAAAACATGTTCATTTTAATGTCGCATTCATCCGTGTAACTGTCTTCCTGACTTTAGGGGTAACAAATTGGGAATACTTGATGATCAGTTCTGATGTGTTACACTGCAGCGTTATGTGACTGAGCTGTTGCAAGGTAATAACCTTTTCCTCCATAAACTGCAACTGTCTGCTTAAACTCAGGTTTTGCCTGCCTTTGGAAGAGCAGGTTTGCACTGTGTGCAGGGTGTGGATGCCCTGTGAATGCCTGGTTTTCACTTATTCCCAGGAGCTCTGTCAGCCCAGTTTCTCTTCAAATGACCTATGATAACCACTCTGTCAAAAAATAACAGAGGAAAGGGGTATCTTTTGTTTCACGTGAAGCATTTTTAAGCATTGCTACAGCTTTGTCCCCATATGGATTGTAAATGCATTTTCAAAGTTGTAGCTTCCTTTTAAAGTGTTTTTGCAGCTTCTAGTCTCAGCAGTGTTAAAGTTCTAAAACTTTCATTTAGAACTGATACATTAAATATTTCAGAAAATTGTTTTCAAATACTTTAGCATGGGAGAGGTGAGCTTAGGAAACCTTTCTGTGTGCCAAAGTTGGGATAAGACAGGATGTAATAAAAGCAGAGTTCTGGCTGAGTGTTGTAACCTCTCCTGTAATTCACAATACTGCACCACTCAGCTGCCTTTTAAGAAAAATCTGGAAAAATCTGTGCTTTTATGGGGTTCTTAACTTTGCCACCAGCTATAGCAGCATTTACAATTTAAACTTTCACAAGTTTAAAAATAACCTATTAATTCCATGTAAGTGGTTTTAAATGTGTTGTAAATCCTAAATGACTGCAGTTAGGATCTTGTTTTATACTAATACTTTGCCTTTTTTTCTTCTTTTTCTAATTGTATTTTATTCAAGAGTCTAAGTGTACTTCATGTTGAAATTAAGACTTGTAAGACATCATCCCTGTTTTTCAGTTGCAGAAACTTGGGGCATAAAAGAACCAGAAAAGTTAGGAAACTGTCTGGGAAGTCTTCCTAGCTTCATGGCAAGACGTAAGAAGAAATTCTGTAACATCCATTCCCAATTTGCAAACTCTCTCTGTATTCTGGTTTCCTCTTAGGGAGTGATCATGGTTTCAGATATGGGCTTGCTGTGCTACTTCTCACTGTTAGTGGCTTTGTGAAAACTTCAGTCATTGCAGCATCTGAGTATTTAACAACAGCTAGTGTTAGTTATTCTGGCAATGCCCTTGCACAGGAGGGAATTACTCGTGTCCAGTTTCATAGAGTGGGAACAGAGCGACTTAGTGATTTGCCTGGTGTTGTAAAGAGCTCTGACTGAACTGCCAGACTTTAGGTTAAAACCCATTAGCCTAAATGTATCCTCTAATGGCATTCAGTAACATGATCGCTAAATGTAAGCCAAAAGATTCATACAGAGTTGTTTCTGTGATACTTTGGGATGGATTTTGGTGCATGTGTGAAAGGGAAGCTGTATTGCAGTAGCACAGGTTCTACTGCATTTGAATCGCAAAATATTCCTCTTTTGGGGGCTAGTTGGTTGTTTTAATCTTCTTTAAATGGGAACAAATGTCACAGGATCTGGGTATTAAACGCATACTCAGACTGTGGCTGACAGACTTAATGCCATCTTCACTAATGAAATTAATGCCAATTGTTTAATTTTGTGAAAAGTAATGTTCTTGCTGATTGACAGACATTTCTGTGCTCACTCTTCTAGTAATACATGGTTGCAGTACAAAGATACTAAAATCTAGTTTGTTTTAAGCATTTAAACTTATTCATAAGAACAAAGTTGATGCAAATATTGGATTTGAATTCATGTATGTTAATCCTGCTAATGACTTAGATTGAAGTAAATCTTATAGTACTCTGTGGGGTTGTAATATATAATAGTAACTTGGGCTGAATTCTGTTTGTAGAAACTTGTATGTTTAGAAGTACTCTCATATACCTGAAGAGAAAATTTGGCCCATGATTGTCTTTTCGTAAATGGTGTTGTATGGGAACTACTTTTTCTGTCTCCTCCCCACTGTCCCTATTTCAGCCTGGCTTTTTTTATTTACACAGTTTAACCTTCTCGAGGGTTTTAAATTACAAAGTTTTACATCACATTTTAGGTTCATTTCCAGCTTTAGATGACGTTGGAGAGAAGGAGAAAGGAGAGGCCAGGCAACAAAAAAAAAAAATCAAATTGAGGGGGAAATGCAGCACTCCCTCTGTAAGTGGAACAACAGTAGATTAACTGGCAGTCTTACCTGCCTAAAGACAGAGAAATAGATTTAAGTGTTTGGGGAACTGCTAATAAAGTCATACTTTATTCAGCTCTCTGGCAACAGTGGTAAAACCAGTGGGTATTTGCTTCTTTGATCACTGAAACAAAATTCTTTGCTGTTCATTTAGCATTTTAGATATATGATTCATGAACATAGCTTTTCTGAAAAGTGCCCTAAAGAAGGAAAAACACAGATATGCAATGTCTAGAATGTCACTACTCTTGAAGTGTGTAAAAGATGTATCTTAAAAAATTCTCCACATGATGGTTACAATCAACAATTTGCACGTGTTCACTTCAGGGCAAAGCATAACTATAACATGCTAGTTAGTGGTGTGCTTTTTTTTTTTTTTTTTTAAAGTGAGGTATAAGATTACATCTAGGTACTCTGCATAATTATAGCAATGTTATGAACAGTCTGTCTGATGATACTCTTTATTTAACTCCCTGGTTTTCTCAGGTCTGAGCTGAGATACAAAACTTGCCTTGAGCTGACACTTTGCATAGACAGTTTTAGTATAAGTACAGCTTTTCTTTTCTGTGGAATAAACTGTATTTTGGAACAAATGAAAGACTGCTTAGAGGCTGTGTATTTCAGTCCATTTAGATCATGCTACAGTTTTTGTTTGCTGTTTTAAAACCCACTTGTTCAGATTGTTCAGGGTTGTTCTTGGATACTGCTAAAAAATGTGTTTTCCTGCCAAATAAAAACTTAGCAATAATTGTATTTGCCTGATGAGCTTAAACTATATTAGAAATGGCATTAGGATCATGCTGTATCATAGAGCTTTGGAACTCCAGCTTGTACATTTTGGGCTGCTTCATTTCACCTTTGATACAGCTCCTGGTTGACAGCTAACTTGGTTAATAACCCGCCATCCAGGCAGAGATGCTAGAAGACATTATTATTCTTGGGGTGAAAAAACTGTCTGTCTGTGCCTGCAATATGATCTGCATGAATATATCTTCTGTCCATACAGTCTTAGCCTATAAGCTGTATACAAAAAAGTTCAGGTGGTTGGAGGCTATGGAGTATATACCATAGACTTTGGAGAAGCGAGCACTGGGTTCACAGGTGGGCTGCACCGAGGCCTGGCAATACCAGCTCTGGCAAGGCCTTTTCATTTGACGTGTCTTACTGTTGTAAATTTGGATTATCCAGAAGCACTTGTGCCGGCACATGCTTGTGCCAATCATGTGCTGTAGTCCCGGTTTAGTTGCTACACTTGAGCCGAAGGCTAGTTCCCCCCTGCAGATACAGGTCTATCAAAGTCTGTGGATCCACTTATACACCCATACGTACAATTATGAGTTTCTCTTTTATCTCTGTCAGTCTTTCCTGAATGAATAGTAATTCATTCTCCCCTTGGATGCTATCCTACTCTGCAGCATTATTCAGTTTTACTGCTGCAGGTTATAATGTCATTAATCTCTCATGCTGCCTAATCCTTCAGTTAACTTGACTTAGTTTTTCTTACACTCTTTCTCTAATATATTTCATGGTAAAATTTTTGTGAACACAGTGGTTGTGCAAGTGGTTTGATAAGTGTTTGGGGAGGAGTTAGGTTCTTTTCTTTTTGTTTTTTTTTTTTCCTAATATTTCAGAATAACTACATCTCCTTGACCATGCTTTTTGTGACAATACCATTGGGATTAACTGTCAGTGCATAGCTCTTAACAAATGAAATCTCCAAACAGTTAAAATGTGTGAAATTAACTGTGTGCTTTTTTTGTTTGTTCTTTGGGTGTTATATGACTGAAAATGACAGTTGCTAAAGATTAAACACAGCAACATTTTTCTCTGATCCTTTGTGGCCTTGACATTAAAACCAGACAAAAATTAAGCGTGTTATCTACCACAGCCTTTGTACATGAAAATTCAGATCACTATAAAACAGGAATGGACTTTTTTTCCCTCTTTGGCAGCCCATACGAAAGGGTGATTTATGCCTTAACGTGGTCTTTCCCCCCCGCCCCTTTTCTATCACACATGTTCTTGCCTGTAGACTTCATGGAATAATAACATGGTTCTCTCCAGGACAGTTCATTGGTTGTTAATTGACTCATAACTTTGTTTGAATGTAATAAAGAAATAAGAGTCCTTTAATCTTATTTACACTTTTGGAGACGTTTTTAAAATTTATTTAGTTTTTTTTTATAGCTTTATGCAAACAAATTTTGTGTGGCTGTTTCACTTAAAATGAACTGGTTTACTACTTTTGGTAGCACTATAGATCACAAACTGAGAATGCATACGTGTATGTTTGTCTTTAAGGCCATGGTAGGTGAGGAGTGTGTAGGTGCCATCGTCTGCAAGCTGGATATGCACAAAAAGATGTTCCGCAGAGGTTATATAGCCATGTTAGCAGTGGATTCCAAATACAGAAGAAAAGGAATTGGTAAGAATAGCCTTTTTTGTTACTTCTTACTTAAATCCTGTAGTTGGGATAACTGTAGCTGTCATAAAGATTTAAGCAGAACTGAACTTCTAGATGTGGTGGTTTGTCTGTCATCCCCGCCTTACTCAACCACACAAGCTCCCCAGTAGCTTTTTTTATTTTGTTAAAATAGCCTGAAATGCCCTATGAGATCTACATCAGGGATACGGTAAAGCTAAAAAGAAAGGCAGTCAGCAGCCCCTTACCTCTGCCTATTACAACTGTCAAATAACAACAGTAGGAATTGCTTTGCGTTTTTATATGTGCCCTCATCACTGTATTTCTGTGTTGTTCAGTGTATCTTTTTTCAGTGAACTTATCCCCTGGCTTTCCCCTATCAATTACGCATATATTGCCCATTGAGGAGAATGTATGTACCTCCTTGTATTAATAAGTGAAGAAAAATAGTTGTGTATTGCTACTTGAATGACTGCAATGGAGATCTGTTTTGTGGGAAGTTACATGACAAAAGAAATCACTCTTGGCAGGGAGTTTGCCCTCCATCAATCAGTTTTGCCCTGATGAGGGGATTTTCATTCTAACACCAGTTATTCCAGCTGGCTTAATTAAAAACCTGTTCTTATGGAACTTTATTTTTTTATGTTGGTTATTGTGAAATTACATCTCGTAATATTTTTAACTTAAAACGTAGACATCAGCTTTAAAGGCTAGAAATGAGCTTCACCACTCATTCACACTGAACAGCTCATACTTTTGTGATTAAAGACAGAAAATTACTTGCAATGGAAAAATTCGGCCATACATTGCAGAATGGTACCATTGTGTTTGTTCTCCTCTTCAAAAAGAAAAAAAACCTCCAAAAGACTTGAAGCACTATGTATTATCATGACTGTTCAAGCATGTGTGGGTTTTTTTTTTTCTCCAGTGCAATTCAAAAGCCATTGTTGGTTTCTGTAGTGGAGCAGAGGGAAGAGGATACTGAGAAATCACTGTCTCCTTTCCTTTTAGCTGAGTCATGAAGGAACCTGCCATAATTTAATTGCAGGTGCTTGGATTCATAAGTAAATAAGAACTAATGCTGTTATTATGAAGGCCTCTGCAAGATTTTTTCCCTTGCTTTAGTCAGTTCATTATTTTAGAGTAATATAAATAGATTTTATATTTAAAGCCTTACTTACTTTAGCATTATGTATGTTGACTTTTTCCTACATTTGCCACCTTGCTGTTTCTCAAAGTGTGCTGTTAATCTGAAGATTTGTTTTTTATGTAGTACGGTTTTGTCATATGTTCAATGAAAATCTTAATTTATTAAAGTTTTGAGAATACTTTAAAACATTCTCTAGATTCCTTGGGGTTTTTTTTCCTTTTCCTTAGCCTTCTTATGGAAGTGAGATTTATGCAATTTCATTGAACAGCAGTTTTTTCCACTAATAACTTTGAAATCAACTTTCAATTTCACCCCAATTCTACAGACAGGTAGGGATATTACATTTGTAGAACTGTTGTGAAATAGATGAAAATAATGATAAAGAATTAAATTAATGCTTGACTGAGGGGAAGGGATGGGCTTCAACCATATTATTAGATACTAGCAAATCCAAATGGGAGTGAGCCACAAGAAAAGTAGTTTCATAAGTTCTGTTACTAATAGAAGTATTTGTTTTAGTAAGAGGAAATTCCCTTGGAAGATGAATGTCCTTCAAGTACGTGCCAGCAGATTTTGACTTTAAATGCAACAAAAAGGAATGAATCACATCTTGGAAGGCTATATATAACACTAAGTTAAACATAGAAGCCTGTTTCTAATATCCTTGTGTTAGAAGAATCTTGCGCTCAAGCTGAGTCTCTGGATAACTTCACAGATTATTTTAACGTTCAAACTTGAGACTGCAACTTGACTGCAACTTCTTGTTTCTTTATTTCTTTCCTCCCTGCTTTCCCCAGGTGTCATGTCATGTAGGTAGCACACATGTTAGTCATATATAAACTAGCATCTTTTGCCTTGCAACTCTGACACTTACTGAAATCTATATTACAGGTACAAACTTGGTTAAGAAAGCTATTTATGCTATGGTTGAAGGAGATTGTGATGAGGTAAGATTTTATAATCAAAAACTTTCATAATGTAAATGGTTTGCATTCTCCTATATGTGGATTCATTTCACAGGTTTCTCTCCTACAGGACTTTTTTTTTTTAGGTGGGGAGTGGGTTGGTAAGAAGCTGTTCCTTTTATAATAAAAGGAAAAATAGCCTCAGAAAAACGTATGGCACAAATAGGAGAAGGATTTTCTAACTTTGTCATAAGGGCTCAAATTCAGTGTCTCAGGTTTTGTCTTACTTTGTGAAGCTGCCTCAGCCTTCGGTTGCAGGCATGTTTTCCTCCAAGGACTAGTTTAAGGTGCTACTGACTAGTGTAACTTGCATGTTGTGTGTAATACTTCCGTACTTAAAGGATACACAGAGGTACTGGAGTAGTATGTGCTGTAGTATTGCAGAATGTGGTTTTATCACAGCAAGTCATCAGGCTATTCTGACAGTGCGTAGCTATGCTACGTAGCACTAACAGAACTCTAATGATCTAGCATGTCAATGAAAACTTGGAAGGAAAGTGACTGAATCACTGTCAAACTTTCTCTGGCCTATGTGTTAGTAGTCTTTCCTTTTACCAGATTACAGTCCTTTTTTTTTTTTTTTTATATATATATATATATGAAGCAACTAACTATCTTTATGTGCTATGTTTAACTTCTGAGGAACTCTTCCTACATCCCTTAATCTAGTTATCTGTCCCTTTAACTTTCATCTCCTTGGTACAATGCAATTGTTAGCTTGTTCCTGATAAGTGAGCACTGTGTTATTTCAGTGTATCATAGTTAATGATCCTTTGATCTCTCTGTTATCTTGTTTCAACTGCTCCCTCAATTGTCCTACTGCGGTGTGGTGAAGTTTCTTATGCAGAACTACAATTTTTGTTGCAGGACTTCTGGCACATACTCTGTTTATTTTTCCACTTGTGTTATGCCTCTTGAAGCATCCCCGCATATGTTCTGACTTCATTCATTGTTTGAGATATTTGTCCTTCCCTTCAGATTCTTTCATGTCTCTGCTTACTGGTGTCTTTTTTTTTTTTTTTTTCTCTCCCTCTAATTTATGCTGTACTCTGGCAGTATACTGCAATCGGATAGTTCTGTAATTCTTCAAGTTCTTTGTTTTGGCTTGTTGCGTCTGTCATCATATGTAATATGCTTTGCTCTAATCTGTTTTACTCCTTGATACATTGAACTAATAAAAAAAAAAGAGGTTTTTGTTTGTGGTTTTTTTCCATGGCTTTCCACTACGGTCTTGAATTCATTTGCCATTGCTAGAGTATTCAAGATTAAAAAATAATTGAGGAATAGTATCACACTGTTCACATCGCAGTTGGAGAATTGAGATGCAGAGAAGTGAAGTGAATTGCCTACTGTTGTTAGAGTCAGCAGTAGAACTGGCTATTTCCACTCAAGCTACCAGAGTTGCGATAATTACCATATGATTTATGAGTGTATGTATACTACTTCTCATGTAACTTTATTTCTAAATTGGACTATCTAACAGGTATATGCATAATGATCTCTCCTATGTCTGTCTTTTTTTTTCTACCACTGTTGTATCAGTCCAAGAGCCCTTCTTACTGTTTGTCTTCATAAAAATGAAGTAAATGTGATAAGGATTGCAGGCTAGTCTGCAGTGAGACCTCATTAAGTCTTAGTCACAGATGTTCATCTATGGTGCTGTATAAATGCTTTGTACTAAGCGCAGAGGGCATTTTTCAGAGAGTGTTGCTGTCCCTCTTTAATGGAGGGTGCTACAATTCAAGCTCCTTGAACTGTGTGCTGGGCGGGTGCAGGCATGTTTCAGTTCCAGTTTGGAAACTGTGTAACCGTGTTTGTGGGATGATGACTCTGAACTAATTATGCCCTGCTTCTTGGTGGCTTTTGCATCAGCTGAGTCTTGTGCTGGCAAAGAATTTTGAAATGGGAGCTCATTATGCCCGGGCAGCATGGAGAGCAAGCAGAGTTTATTTCTGACTTTCTAGTTGGTCGGTAGAGGCATACCCACACTGATTTGATATATTTATGTTGTTCTTTTTCACATACAGGTCATCTACAACCAAATAGCCAATGTTTTCATGTTTTCTTCTTTTCTTTGCCACCAAGTGTAGGCTTCTTCCAGATATACATAGTACAAAATAATTATGTTGGTTACTTGTACCACAGGGTGGATCGCAGAGTTTTCAGTCATGACCAGAAACTGAAAAATCCAACCAGCCACCAATTAAAAGCTCTGTCTGACAGAGCCAAGACGCTTGCCCTCATCAGTTTTTGCAACAGTTGTTGGGAGAATGGTTTCTGGCTGTCTAATTGATGCCTAGAGCTGATAAAAAAATGTAGTAGTACATCACAGTAATTTGTCTTCGTGAGGTGTGTAAATAGTTTAATCATCTCAGCTGCTCTTAAGATATTTTTCTACATCCCTTAATAAAATCGGAAGCATGATGAAAATAAAAAGATGTTGCTACTTGATATAAGATGAACTGCAATTAAAAAAAATGCTATTTTCTGAAACTCGCTTGGAATAGGATTAAAAACATGAATATGCAGCTGTGGGTGAAAATTTTCAAAAGCTGCTTGGAAACTCCTCCCTTCAATCTAATTATGGAATAGATGCAGTAAATGTACTTAACTTTAATAACTTGTGGCATATAATCTGATAAATGTTTTGTTCAGTGTATTACTCTTCAAAGTACTGTAGATTGGACTTTTGAGGTATCGACATTGAGTCCTGAAAAATAAAGGATTTTTATACAACACCATAGATGAAAATCTTGAAAAATCACTACTGATGTGCTGGCATTTCAAAGTATGCTGCAATACTTTAATGCTTAAGGAAACTTTTTTTTCCTATAAACTAATTTTGTGGGAATAAACTAAGCCAAGCCTATGGAACGAGTGATTTACAGTGCAAGTTTCTGTGGTCAGCCAGCTGCCTAAGAGGTAGTTTATGCTATATGCAATGCTTCAAAGCTGAGAGGTAATATCCTTCTAGCCAGGGGTTGTTTCCTGGCTTGAGGAAGCTGTGGGGTGAGTAAGTGAAGAAGTGAATTGGCTGGAATGGAATCTGTGTGGAGGGGAGGAGCTGGCCATGGAGGTGGCCATGGCCTACATTAGAATAGAAACGAGGGAAGTGATCTGATGTTGGGGGTGGGTGGTTGAACTAGAAATAACCTTCAAGCCTGAAGAAAGTACTCAACAGCATGCTTTGAGCTGGAGTGTCTGGATATAACATTACAAAACTTGAGATATTGTGGTTTTGTTTTTTTTTTAACCTTGGTGACTTTCTCAGACATTTGATGTTAATGAATTCTAATATTTGGGGTAGTAAACTGAAGGTTTTCGAGATTATAATGGCCTGAGTGTCCAAAGTTTCCAATAGTTCACAATGATTTAGAATAACTTTATGGGCTGGTTGCATAGAAGATGTGAACTATGGAAATAAATGAGGTGAAGGTGAATAGTTTTGCTCCCATCTGCAAAGTTTTGAATAGATTTTTCTTCCAGTGTAAAAAAGGAAAGCATGTGCTAACTCCAGCAAGTTGGGTGTCTGGTTGGTTTTTGAAGATTTGCTTAGTTTTTACTGACAAGCAATTTTCAAAAATTATACTGCTTAAGACCTTCTTGTGGAACTGTTACATCCCTTAATCACAATTAGAAAGGAGGAGTTGTTCATTCATACATAGGTTTTCCATCCGTAACAAATGACTGTAAGTAATCTGCATATGATTCATTCACTTTGTATTACTGAAATAATGTACCATGTAACTGGTAACTAATCAAAATAAGGCTCTAGTAAGTGGGACTTTTAAAAGCTTTTTTAAGCAAAATGTAGAATGTAAAAAGGAGTTGCAACTTCTCATGAGAATTTCCATTGAAACTTTAGGGTGATTTAAAGTGGGGGTTTTTGACCGCACCAGTAGGTGTGTCATTTTAATTCAGTACCCCGCTTGTAAAAATTAAATGTATGTTTTTAACCATTTCAAATAGGATTATATAAACTATTGACATCTTAGCTTTTTATTAATCTACAAATCATCTAAGGTATTAAGTGTTATATTTTGGGTGGTAATTTTCTTTAAAAGTTAAGGCAGTTAAACTGATTAAGGACACTGGAGAAGCACCCATAACTTGAGTCTGATGATACACCAGACTTAGAAGTAAGAATAGCAACTTCTTCTGTGAGTGCCGAGAGAGTACGTTCTTCATTTGCTTATTTGATCTGTCTGTATTCATTCAATGACTTGGTTTTTAAACTTGATTCATTTCCAGTGTGAACTGAAGAAGCAAGAAAGCTTGACCTGTCTATTTTTCTTCAGTTTACGAAAACATAATAACAAGAAACATTGCACTCTCACTACAGAAGATTTCTTGCTTCTAAACCCAGTTAAAATTAGACAGTTGAGATAAAATGTTAGGTTTATGCAATTTAAGACATAAGAGAAAGTAACAGCCTTCAGAAAGTTGCAACTTGTTCAGAAAATGCTGTTAAATCCAATCAGACCTTTGCTGGTCTCCAGGGGAGGATGTGGTTGTGTTGTTAGAGGATTTAACAGGCATATGTGTACAACAAAATAGACCCTGTGAGACGAGAAATAAACGTAAAGATTGAAGGTTTGGAGCTTGATTGAAAATCTCACACAGGAAGAGATGAATCCCTCACAAAATGAAGCTAATGGAATTTGGATAAAATATGACCGTGTTTCCCTTTTAGATAATACAAACATGTCTTTAGCCCTTTGAGGTCAACGTAATATGTTGAGATCAGGGAATTATTTTTCGTTCCTTAGAAATGCCAGAGCAAATCTCTTGCATTTGCTTTCCAGATGAGCATTCACTCAGGTGGTGGGATTCCAACAAACCTGATTTTCAACATTTAACCACTCCCTTAAATTCAGTGATCTGCAGTGTTGGAAGTCTTTTAGCATTGCAAGGTGTTTGAGCTTGCAGTTGAATACAGACTTGTTATATCACTCTGCCAGGTTACTAAACTTTTATGAGACTGAATGCCATTTGTAGCTAAGAGTTCAAATAATAGTCTCCTGCACTGTGGATTTACATGGGTCAGATTTCCTCTTTGGCGTAATGCTTTGTTTTAATTTGAATTAAGAAGTTGTACAATGCGCATAATTGTGTAGAAAATAGCACTCTTCAGGAAAGTTATTGCACTTCCATAATTTGTTACAAAGTAATAGTTATCCATTTTAATGGATTAAGGATGCTAAGAGTACTCGATCAAGTCACAAGACTTGATAGTAGTAGTCTGTGAGGTGCCAGCTAGAGAAGTTCAATCTCTTAATTCATGCCATAAGACTAAAAATTGAATTAGGTTGTCTTAAGTGTGCAGGTACAACAGACTGTCCTGCTGTAATTTAAGAACTCTGACTGTTAATATTTTAATGCGTGACTCAGTTCCTTTTCAGAAGACGAACTAATTCTAAGTCTTATGTCATTCGTTGGGTTGTTAGCCCAGGTTTACTATTCTTTCAACATTATTACACTGAGAAGTGCAGGGGGAATTAGTCATTGGAATGTGGTTAGAGTGGCTTGAAACTTGAGTAATGGTCAAATATATACATTAAATGGATTTTTAAATCTTATTGAAGGTGACCAGTCTAACTGCTGGCTGCTTCCCTCTTTTACATTGGCTTAGCCACTCAGACTGCAGAAAACAAACCTGATGGAGAGAAAAAGGGAAGGTTTTTTTTTTACCAGGTTGCTTCTTGAAGCAGCTCAGCAACAAGCCTAGTGAGCTGGCAGAAGAGGTGAGGGGGAATGGAAATGTGTGCCTGAAGGCAGGGGGGCCACAGAGTCCTTAAAGTAGATTGATTTAAACTGCTGTACAAATACAGGCTAATATTTTGTTCCTGGTTTTCAGGAGAGGGGGGAATGTTAACCAGTTTTCCTGCTTTTTATTGGAAGAGAAGAGAGTCCTGGGTTTTGAGGTGGGGTGGATGACTCTTTCTGGACTTGGGGAGTTTTATATATGTAGTTCTAACTACACAGAGTGGGTATCAAATGCTGGTTTAGAAATAGCCACTAGTGGACTTAACACCAGCAGTGATCACTGGTTTGCTGCAGAAATTGCTTAGGCTGTATTTTCATTGTATGGTCTTTCTACAGTGTCCATCAGCTCTTGTTTAATATGTGAATGTACATTGTCATGGGACTGTATGTAGTCTAGTCAGCTTATTAGTTCAGCCTGTGTTCTTGCGCAACCATGATCTGTCCTTAATAGCAGAATCCTTAAATAATTGAGTTGGACAACAGTAGAGAGGCAGAACAAGTTTTTATTATTTGGAGTGGGTGCACGGCTTACCAGTTATGGCAAAGCTCTGTTCAGTGCGTTTGGAGAAAAGAGAGGAAAACAATTCAGAGGGACATTCTTCAGCAGTTTTGTAATTAACTTCTTGTTAACTCCAGTGTAGTTATTTGCCTGTACTTGAGACTTCTGGGACAATTTTGAGTCTTTGCTTAATTTGGACTACTCTTAGCTATTTATGACAGGACTTATAAACACGGGGCGGGCGGGGGGGAGATGGAAAAAGCTGCTCTTTCTTCCTGGTGTGCACTCTTGATTTGAGGTTGGGATACTTGCGTTGAGCACAAATATTCATTGTAAACATTGGGTCTGACAGCTAGTTGTAGAATGCTGAAGCCTGTATCTAGGTCTAAATCTATCGAATTAGAGGTCAAAGATATTAAATGACTAAAGAAAAGCTCATGTGCCAAGTTCTTGTGACATGCAAAAGTTCAGTTGCTCATTCAAAATTCGAAGTATGTTTTGGACCCTGACCTGTTTGGTAGGTTGGGGTTGGTTAGTTTGTTTGGGGTTGTTGGTTTGGGGTTTTTTTTTTGGGGGGGGGGGGGAAGATGGTGTTGGGGAGGGGTTGTTTTGGGTTTTGTTTGTTTGATTTTTACCCTAGCTATTAAGTAATGAGTTGAAATACTATTTACAGTAAAGAACTAAAATCTTGATGTGAATGAAACTTATTTACAATTATGATTGTTGGTTAACTGCTATTTTTTTTTTAAATGTGGTAATGGAGATGGGTTGCTTAAATAAGTCGGGACAAGAAAAAATTAATTCCACTCATTGCTAATAAGTGTACCTTTAAATAAAAGCTTTGAAATTGTTTCAGTAGTCATGTAACTGCAACCGCTTTCTAATATGATATGTTTTCTTCTTTTTTTTTTTTCCTTAAAGGTTGTATTGGAAACAGAAATCACAAATAAGTCTGCTTTGAAACTTTATGAAAACCTTGGTTTTGTGCGAGACAAGAGGCTGTTCAGATACTATTTAAATGGAGTTGATGCACTGCGTCTTAAACTATGGCTGCGTTAAAAGAAACCATCACATCAAGCAACTGACGTCCCAACAGCGCAGAGTTGTCCTTTGCATGCAATGCAATTTGTACAAAATTGCTTTGCAGGTGGACTTAGTAATTTCCATGCAGCTCTTAATCTGTCAGTGTCTCATTGAGTGTCGCACATATTTGTTGCACTTTGGCATGGCGCATTTGTTCAGAATTAAAACCGATTGTTTCAAACTTCCGAGTTCTTTTGGTACCAGCAAGATGTGCCAGTTGATAGCCAAGATATGTTCATTCATTTGCAAGTCTACTGACTATTACATACACAGTGAACATTTTATCAAAGAACCTGTATGTGGAACGCGACTTTTGGTTCCAGAAAAAAGCCAATGTAGATTGTAAAATTCTATAAGTATACTAACATTTCATACAAAAATTGCCATAGTTTTCTGGAAAAAGGCTTCAATTTTAGGTTTTATTTTTCAATATTGAATTTTCCATTCTTAAATATTGGTACCTCAGTGATTAGTGAATGAAAAAAAATGTATTGTAGGGTGGGGTGTGTGTTACAATGAGTAACAGTAACAATTAAATTGCGTCTGCCAGTGCCTGTATAGATAAGTATATTTGTCTTCACCTCTAAGTTTGGAGTGCATGCTTTTATTCTTTTACTTTCTTCAATTGTCTTTGCAAGAAAATTTCTGCTTTTATTTAAATTCTGGATTTGATAATAAATTATTTCAGATTTTTATAATTTGGATACTTCTCCCAAACGAGGGTTTGGTAGGCCCTTCTTTTCTTATAGCAAGAAGTGTAAGCTATTTTGAAAACCTTGAGTAGCTGCTAAAAGAGAACCTGATGTCACCAGTAATTCTCTGCTGGTTTTGGATGCACTTTTTTCATTAAAAGAGTGAGGGACTTTTAAAAGAAGATATAGGAAATTAATGTAAATTGGTATGATTTTATTTAATCAAAATTATGGCTAGAAGCTCTGAAAAACAGCTATTTTAAGATAGTTGGAACAATTTTTTTGCAGATTCAGATTGCTTTGCTTCAGTGTTCTAAAATGCTTCAATCTTTGGTTCTTGGTCTTGGAAATAAATTTCAAGGTGCATTGTATCCATTTTTAGCTGCTCTCATTTTCTCTAAACTTATATGAGCTAAATTATTGGGGGATTTTTTTCCCTCCAGAATCAAAGCAGTGGGGAAGGACTTCTTTCTTTCTTTCTCCCTCTTTCTCGCATTCACTCTTGCTCTGTTTTTCTCTATTTTTTTTTTTCTCCTTTCTTTAATTGGGCTTACATAGGTTTTACCAATACCCATCAAATTTTTTTCAGTAATTACAGTGTCTAGGCATTCTTGTTCAGTGTGATTATATAGCCCAGTTCTATGAATCAGTTGGGTTTTTTTCACTTTGGAAAAAAAAAATATTAGTTGACTTGTGGAAGAACCTATGTAATCTGTGAAAAAAGGATGAACTCTCAGTGAATCTGCTCTTCTGTAGTTGAGCATACTCTTCAGATTTGCCTTACTACACTTTTTTTTTTTTTTTTTAGGGTTTGGTTTGAGTCATGGGTTTGGTTTTTTTTGTTTTCTAATTACTGTACATTTAAAAACAAAACCAACAAAACCCCTACCTCCAGTAACATTTGGAAAAGAGCCCTGTGCAGGAAAACTGGATTTAAAGGAAAGCCTTATTTTGCACAGACCAATCGCACATGGTGATGGGCATTTCTTACCATGTACAAATTATGAGTTGTATTTGAAAATAAAGATTTTTAATGGAAATTGGCCCTTCGGAGTTTTCTGCTTATAGACACCATTTGTACTTTTGAGGGGGTTTGTTCCCCTCAGTAAAGAAAACTCGTGTTTAAAATGGTGCCCAAGACAAAGCGTTACAAACTGGAGTCCGTTATTCACAGAACACGTTGGAGTTCAGCGTAAAGCCTGTATGTTGCCACTACTGCCTTGTGACATGATAAAACCTTTTGTTCACATTATCCCAATCCCTCAGGTTTGCCAGTTGTTCTGGGCAGCTTTTCAGGAGGTTTAATTCATTGTGAAGACTTAAATGTTGGTAATGTTAAATCAATCGAAAGAGATTTCTCTCAACCATGTTCCAGTGGTCCAGGACGTAGTGACTGCTCTGGCTTGCTTGAACTAAGGAGATGGATCAGGGAGGTTTCATACCTTGTTAACAGCTGCTGGACTTGTATTGCAAATTGCAAACTATGCTATCTTGTGTGTCTGCTGATGTTTAAAAACTGAAAAGCCAGACAGGCAAGTTTTCTATTGGTTAATATTTAAGCCGTGGGTGTCTTCAGATTCAAAAGCCGACTCGGAAGTTAGCCGAAATCACATTTTGTGAAGGCACTGCCAAAAACATCGCTTCTGAGCAAACTTCAAATACAATTCTGTTTGTTTATTGTAAGAAGTAATTGTCGCCATGCACGTTTTGAAAATACTGCGCAAAATAGGTGCACGTTTCTTTTAAAAGAGCACATTGCCTGAAAGGTTCTGATATTGCTGCTGTGTAACACACAGTTCACTACAGAAGATACTGAAGCTGTATGTGTTGGTTCATATTAAAAGAAACAGATTTGTTCTCTGTGTTGCTTGGGATTTGGATATCAAGTGGGAAGTTCCAAATTTGCAAAGAGAGGAAAATAGGTTTTCAAAGAAATCTAGCAGTGAAAAGTTGGTTATTTCTCATGTCTGTTGCTAAAACACAGTCCTCTCCCCCTCACCTTTTTGCATTGACAAATCTAAGGAGTTGATCGCTTTTATATTTAAATTTGCCCAAATGTTGCTATTGGCTGACATGTCAGTATGGATGTTTGCATTATATTGTGTTTTTAAGAACTAATCAGGTTGATCACTTCAAGAAAAGTAGGCATAATCTAATTGGCGTTGCATAGTACGTCACAAACTATTTTTCAGGGCACTGCAAGACATTGCTAAAACTGAGTGCTATGTTAAAAAAATTTCAGGTCTTGTATAAACATTACAACCTATATTGGAGTTCAGGTATCAGGTGGGCATCTATGAAAATATCAAGTGTATCTCAAAATACTGGACTGCTGTTTTGAGTGGATTATATTCTTCTGTCCCTTTATCCTTTTTGATGAGAACAAAAACAGTGGGGTTATGAAATGTACAAGCTGTCTAAATACAATGCAGTCAAATAAATGGTTAAGTTGTTTATCTATTTCCTTTTGAATGGAAATGTTCTAATGATTGTTTTGCTTTGTCTACAAAATATGAATATATGCTTATTCTTGAGAGAGAAATGGTGGAAAAAATTTTACAAGAGACTTGTTTATCACCACTTGATTTTCATTTCCATGCCTGTGTTGCAAGCATCTTGAATAGCATTTCAGTGAACATCAGTGCCATAGCTGAACTAAAATGGATCCTTTTTTCATGTCTATTAAGTTATGACTAATGTAGTCATTCTGGACTTTCCTGGGAGATAAGGAGTGGGTTTTTTATTATTTTAGTTGTAATACGCAAGAGTTGAGAACTGCTCGCAGCCCTTGCAAAGCTGAGAACTCTCTCTCCTAAAAGCGTACGGGGGATCCTATGGCTTTTAAAAATCCTTTGTGCTTTTATTCCCTCTACAATTATGTTGAGGCTCCTAAAACTTTCTGAGAATTGGCCAGCAAGTGGTGTGCCTGTTTGGCTGTGTATTTGTAAGAGGTGTGCAGATGAGAGTTGTAGCCAACTTCTGCTAGAAATTGCTGGCTGCCTGACAGCAGCTCCAAGTCTTTTGTTCCTCCAGCTTCTTTTCTGATTCCTTACAGCTAGCCTGGCTGATTACTAGAGTTCGTTATGAACTAAGGCTTCACAGGTGTAATACCACTTCTTACACTTCTTTCTATTTGTCCTCGTAGTGGAAACTGTTGCAGGTAAATAGAAATTTATTTCCAGCATCAGGAGCTGGATGCTGGGGGTTGCATGTAACTTTTTATCTGGTCATAAACCAGTGACAAACAGCCCTGCTGCTTATTTTACTCCTCCAATCCCTCCACGTATTGAATTCTGTGCAAGATAAGGGTTAAATTATTTTTCTTTGTCGTGCACTGCAGTGTATTTATAGCCCTAGTATATCTAGTTAGTATGCATGGGCTAAAATAGATTTGGAGAGGCCTAGCATTTCTTTTAATGTGAAATTATAAGAAGTATTTTCCTCACAGATAGTCCAGACTATGCAAGACTGGTTAGGTATTATTTTTAGGAATGAGCGTTTTATGTGTTGCCCACCAAATGCACACTTTAAAAATCTGTGATTTCTTTCATTATGCAGTGCAGAGGGATCCCGAGCTATGACTTGTACAGGGAAGAGAGAAATGTCTCTAGGACTGCAGAAAGTTTTTTGGTAAGGAAGCTGAGGCTTTTCTCCTTCCATTGCTATCTGACTCCCCGTGGGGAAGACAGGACTGTGACGACACTTTAGTCTTGATCATTGCTCTTCCTTGTTAGGCTCAAGGATAAGGTAGAAAAGAGTGAAATTCAAAAGAATTTTCCCATACTTGAGATTAGAGGCTGGACTGGATGGACACTTGGTCTGAGCCAGAGTACCAGTGTAGGACAGCGATGCTACCGCAGGGTAGGGAACTGGCCAGCTCACAGGGACTGCTTTCCATCTTTGCAGGCATTAGAGGCTGGAAAGGCTCTTGATTTGTAGACTTTGGATCTGGGGCTCTGGAGGACAAGCGGTGCTTTTGTTCAGTAATATTCCTTTGCCCTAGCACAGTGCCAGGAAAGCTGCCCTGGGGATAAATGGAGTTTTCTGTTCGTTTTCCTACTGGACCGGGGGTCTTTCCTCCTGCACAGTCGGAGAAGAGTGCAATATCCTGTTACAACTAAGAAGTGCTTTCTGACCTTGGAGTTTTCTAAAATGTGCCTCGTTAAATGATGATCAGTTCTTGCACCTTGCTAGGATTGCGTTTGGTGCGAACCGTTGCTAAAATACAATTGTTTTCTTCCTTCCTTCACTGAACATCTGTTACCGTTTAGAAAACACAGCTAAAGAAAAGAAACATCCCCCTGTCTCACTGCCAGCAATCCCTATTGATCTTTCTTCAGCTACATAGGATAGGAAAAAGGTCAAATTCAGTGTGTGATTTATGGTTTGCACAGTCCTCTGTCAAAGCTCGAGGGCAGGTCACTGCGCGATTTTGTCATATGTATTTGTATTACCTTTAGGCCTTAGGTTGATGATTCCTTGATTTTAGGTGATTGAGTAGGAAATGAGAGATCTTGGTTTTAAAAACCCAAGGAGAAGCAATAATGTACTGAAAAGTTTTAGTAAGACTTTTTCAGAAATTTTAAGGTCACTGGGACACACACACACACACGTATGACCCCTCAGATTCAGATTTTGTTAAATCTCAGTATTTGACTTCCTTTTAAGCAGGGATGGAGAATGATTCCCTGAATTTTTAGCCATTGCCTTGCAGGTGGCTGGAACACGTAACCTGCAGGTGGGAGATGTGGATTTAAATTCCGCCTCTGCATCAGGAGTTCCATCCTGGACCTAAGAGATTCTCCAACAATCAAAGCTGAATCCAAAGAGCAACAAAAAAAAAAAATTGTCCAGAATGTTTTTTGGACTTTGCTGATAGACATCTCCTATTTTTTTTTGTACCAGCTAATGCCCTGAGTTTGGGGGGTTTCTTTTAAAAGAAGATGCAAAATCAGGAAAAATCATTTCTGCTAAAGTGAATGCTTCTTTCCAGGTGCTGGAGAGTGGGAGAAGCTGATAAAGAGGAGGTAGTGGCTAAATATGTAGTGTGGCAGCTTACTAGTAACTGGTTTCTACTTTCTTGTTTCTGTCTGTAAGAAGATACCACCTGCTGCTTCCTTTTTTTATTTGTAAAATACCAATAAAGGTGAAGGTTGAAAGAGTAGGTGACTGAGCAGCTTTGCTAAGGTAAGAAAGCTTTATGCAAAGCTGAAGTTATTACTGATATTGTAAAGGAGGGGGCCAAAACTGTTAGCCGTGCAACCCCCTTCCAGACTGGACTTTGAAAAATACATGTTCTGTCCATGTGAATGCACTCCTTTCTATGAGTAATTTAGAACAGACAGAACTAATTGAATACTCTTGTGTTGCCACGGCTCCCTCCTGAGGGATGGTTGCACTAGAAAAGGCTCTTAGTCTAAATCAAAATTAGTCTTTAATATTGGAAAGCACAAACAAATGAGCCCTCCAAGTTTGAGGCATTTGACGAAAGTGGTTGATGTGTCACTTCTGAATTGCGCTAAGTGTGCTTCAACCTCATTGACTCAAAGCATAAGGGCTTGCTGGAGGAGCTAATTAAGAAGAAAACCAGCTGCTCTTCAGCCAAATTAAGGATGTCCTTCTTTCTCATCTCCCTTCTCCGTGCAGCGACGTGCTGATTCTGAGGGTCCTGCAGCTTTCCAAGGAATGAATGACAGTTTCAGGTGTGCAAAGCTGCCTTTGCCTAGTTAAAGGCTTGCACCATCCGTGCCTAATGCTGCTGTTCAGTGATACAATTGGCCAGAAAATGTGATTTTTTTTT